ATACTACAGACGCGTATTCTTTCATCTTTATTCCAACGGTAAGGATCGTCGAAGATTTGGGCAAGTGGTCGAAGCTGGTTTGGTCATGATCATCACTATTCTATTGGCTTATGGTGTATCCTGGTCGGAGATGGGCGCGTGCAAACCACTGGATGGTCAGAGTTACATACCGAACGACGGCATTCAGGCGGCTATGTGTGATGAAGGAGTCGATATGGGCTACTATAACCCCTTTGCAGCTATGCTCCTCACTGATAGGGACACCTCAGTGAAGTGGCTATTCTCACCTCGACTAGGCGAAGCGGAGTTCCCACAGGGACAGTTGGCGGCTGCTGGCTTCATCATATTCTTCCTCACTCTACTAACATATGGTGTTGCCATCCCTGCTGGTTTGTTTGTCCCCAACATCATGTTGGGTGCCTGCTTTGGTCGACTCTTCGGTCTGTGGGTCGGCGACTGGGCCTCCAACCCTGGTGTGTACGCTGTTATGGGCGCTGCTGGTATGATGGCTGGCTTTACTCGTATGACCATCAGTCTTACAGTCATCGTCATCGAGCTGGTTGGAGACTTACGACTGCTTCCTGCAGTGATGGTTACTGTAGTTGTGTCGAAGCAAGTGGCTGATATGTTCAACAAGGGAGCGTACGATATAGTATCTGAGCTCCGTGGGTACCCTTATATCGAGGAGCTCAGTATTTACGATGAACGTAATATGGCTGGTCGTGATGTAACCTATCGGATGTCAGCGGCGCCCTTGTCTGGTTTTGGCGAAGTTGAGAGTCTGGGCAGAATCCAGGAGGTGCTCTCGAGCTGCACTCACAATGCTTTCACTATTCAGGATCACAGTCACAGGCTTCTAGGTGTGGTGATGCGGTCCAACATCGTTGATTGGGTAAAGGGACAGGGTGGTGTCGTCTCGGCTAATACTCGACTGAACTTGCTCGATCTCACGAACCGCACCCCGACAATAGTGTCAGAGCTAACACCATTGGCTCAAGCCTATACCATATTCCGTAATTTGGCTCTGCGACATATGATTGTGGTGGATAAGGACGACGCTAATCGTGTGGTTGGTATAGTTACTCGGAAGGATATCGTTGAAAGCATGGAGGATGCAGCTGAGGATTATAATAGATCCAAAGATGGTGATGATACCATGTCTCAACGTTCCTCAACGGCAGCAGCCTCTGTTCCCTTGATGGTGCCTTGTGATCTACTACTGGTCATACCGCTCATAGCTCATGATCCTATGCTTGCACTCACGTCCTTGTTG